TCCATGCCAATCCTCCTCTTTTTGCTGAGGAAGACTGGCCCTGGGCTAACATCTGTGCCCATCTTCCTCCACTTTATGTGGGATGCTGCCACAGCGTGGGCTGACAAGTGGTGCGTCGGTGCGTGCCCGGGATCCGAACCCGGGCCGCCAGCAGCGGAGAGCGCGCACTTAACCGCTACGCCATGGGGCCGGCCCAGGAAATTCCCTTCTTTTCCTCTTTTGTTGAGTGTTTTTATCATGAAAGGGTGTTGGATTTTGTCAAATCACATTGAAATTATTATGTGTTTTTTGTCCTTTATTCTGTTGGTACGATGTATTACATTCACTGACTTTCAGAGGTTAAACCAACCTTGTATTCTTGGCATAAATCTCACTTGGTCATGATGTAGAATTCTTTTCATATGTTGCTGGATCCAGTTGGTTAGTATTTTGTTGAAGATTTTTACATCTTATATTCATAAGAGATAGCTGTCTGTAGTTTTCTCATGATGTCTTTGTCTGGTTTTGGTATTAGCGTAATATTGTTTTCATAGAACAAGTTGGGAATGGTTCCCTAGTGAAGAATTGGTCTTAATTCTTCTTTAAATGTTCAGTAGGGGGGCCGGCCCTGTGGCTTGGTGGTTAAGTGCGCGCGCTGCGATGCTGGTGGCCTGGGTTCGGATCCCGGGTGCGCATCGAGGCACCACTTCTCCGTTCATCCTGAGGCCGAGTCCCACATACAGCAACTAGAAGGATGTGCAGCTACGACATACAACTATCCACTGGGGCTTTGGGGGGAAAAAATAAAATAAATAAAATCTTTAAAAAAAAAAAAATAAAATAAATGTTCAGTAGGATTACCCAGGGAAACCATCTAGGCCTGGGTTTTTCTTCGTGAGAAGTTTTAAAATTACTAATTCAATCTCTTGTTTAAGCTTTATTCAGATTTTCTATTTCTTAGTTTCTGTAGTTTGTGTTTTTCTAGGAATTTGTCCATTTCATACAAGTTATCTAATTTGCTGGCATAGCATTGTTCATAGCATCCCTTATGATCTTTATTTCTGTAAGGTTTTTAGTATTGTTGTCTCTTTAATTCCTGATTTTAGTAATTTGAGTCTTCTCTCTTTATTTCTTGTTCAGTCTAGCTAAAGGCTTGTCAATTTTGTTGATCTTTTCAAAGAACCAACTTTTGGTTTTTTTGATTTTTCTCTATTGTTTTTTATTTTCTATTTCATTAATTTCTGCTCTAATCTTGATTTCCTTCCTTTTACTTGCTTTAGAGCTAGTTTGCTCTTCTTTTGTTAATGTCTTAAGGTGGAAGCTTAGGTTATTGAGATCTTCTTTTTTAATATAGGCATTTACAGCTATACGTTTCCCTTTAAGTTCTACTTTACATGTCCCATAAATTTTGATATGTTGTGTCTTCATTTTAAATCATCTCAATGTATTTTCTACTTTTTTTGGTGATTTCTTCTTTGACTCATTGGTTTTTGAGGAGTGTATTAATTTTCACATATTTGTAATTTCCCAAATTTCTTTCTGTTATTGATTTCTTAATTCATTCCATTGTGCTCAGAAACATACTTTGTATGATTTCACTCCTTTTAAATTTATTGAGGCTTGTTTTGTGGCTTAGCATATGGTCTATTGTGGAGAATGTTCCATGTGCACTTGAGAAGAATGTGTATTCTGCTGTGGTCCGTAGCTTGTGGAGTTCTAATTTGCATTAATCTTATAAATGAGGCTGAGCATCTTGTTATATGTTTAGAAGCCATTTGGTTTGCTGTAAACTATCTGTGGTTATTTTTCTTTTGTGGGAACTCATTATATATTAAGGGAAAAAACCCTTGTCTACCATATGAGTTACAAATATTTTTCCTAGTTTGTGGTTTGTCTTTTGAATTTGTTTATGATGTTTATTGAGCCATACAGACACTTTAGGTTTTTATGTAGATTGACTTATCATTTTAAGAATGATTTTTAGGTTTTTTGCCATGTTTAGAAATACTTTTCTCATTCTGAGAAAATTTATTCTCCCTTCCCCTTTTTAGAGCTTTATCATTTTATTTTTGTGTGGTTTAAATCTGATTGATCTGAAATTTACAGGAATATGGATTGAGATGGAGATCCAACTTTGTTTCAGAGCATTGGTCCCAACTCTGTCTACCGTTTTCTCACTGGTAAATTTCAATGCCATTTTCATTATATATTAAATTCCCATATATTTGGGGACAACTTTTGGACCTTCCATTCTGTTCCATTGATTTGTCTATTTTTGTACTGATATCACACAGTTTTAATTGCTGTGACTTTAGAGTAATTTTTACTATCTAGTTGAGCTATTTCCCCTCATTATTCTTCTTTTTAGGATTGTCCTGGCTACTCATGTACATTTACTTTTACTCATAAACTTTAAAATTGACTTGCCCAGTTAAAAAAAAATCCTGTTTTTTGTTTGTTTATAAAAATATTTTTAATTGAAATATATAAGCCTAGATATAAAACAATATTAAAATAAATCTTTTATAAATGCATGATATAAAATTTAGGGCAGAATTGAAGAAATAAATTTAGACACCTTATTTATCCATCTAACAATTACCAATTACCAATAAATGTAATATTGTTGGCTGTGCTGTATCAAGAGAGAAATACCTTATTTTGTTTGTTTTGTTTTTAATATAGCCCTAGC